GTCTTTCCATCTCTTTATGTCATCGTCAATTTCTTTCAAGAAAGTCTGTAGTTTTCATTGTATAGATCCTTCACTTCCTTGGTTAAGTTTATCCCAAGGTATTTTATTCTTTTCGTTGCGATTGTGAATGGGATTGAGTTCTTGAGTTCTTTTTCTGTTAGTTCATTGTTAGTGTATAGAAATGCTACTGATTTATGCACGTTAATTTTATACCCTGCTACTTTGCTGTAGTTGTTGATTATTTCTAATAGTTTTTCTGTGGATTCTTCGGGGTTTTCTATATATAAGATCATGTCGTCTGCAAACAGCGAGAGTTTTACTTCTTCGTTACCTATTTGGATTCCTTTTATTTCTTTTTCCTGCCGAATTGCTCTGGCCAGCACTTCCAGTACTATGTTGAATAGGAGTGGTGAAAGTGGGCACCCTTGTCTTGTTCCTGTCCTCAAAGGGATGGCTTTCAGTTTTTGTCCATTGAGTATGATGTTGGCTGTGGGTCTGTCATATATGGCCTTTATTATGTTGAGGTACTTTCCTTCTATACCCATTTTATTGAGGGTTTTTATCATAAATGGTTGTTGGATCTTGTCGAATGCTTTCTCTGCATCTATTGAGATGATCCTGTGGTTTTTGTTTTTCATTTAGTTGATGTAGTGTATCACGTTGATTGACTTGCGGATGTTGAACCATCCCTGTGTCCCTGGTATAAATCCCACTTGATCATGGTGTATAATCTTTTTGATGTATTGCTGTATTCGGTTTGCCAAAATTTTGTTGAGGATTTTTGCATCTATGTTCATCAGTGATATCGGCCTGTAGTTCTCCTTCTTTGTGTTGTCCTTGTCGGGTTTGGGGATCAGAGTGATGTTGGCTTCATAGAATGTGTTAGGGAGTACTCCATCTTTCTCAATTTTCTGGAACAGTTTGAGAAGAATAGGTATTAAGTCTTCTTTGAATGTTTGGTAGAATTCTCCAGAGAAGCCGTCTGGTCCTGGACTCTTATTTTTGGGGAGGTTTTTGATTACCGTTTCTACTTCCTTACATGTGATTGGCCTATTCAGATTCTCCATTTCTTCCTGATTCAGTTTGGGGAGATTGTAGGAGTCTAGGAATTTGTCCATTTCTTCCAGGTTGTTCAATTTGTTGGCATATAGTTTTTCATAGTATTCTCTTATGATCTCTTGTATTTCATTAGTATCTGTTGTGATTTCTCCTCTCTCATTCCTAATTTTATTTATTTGCGATTTCTCTCTTCTTTTCTTGGTGAGTCTGGCTAAGGGTTTGTCAATTTTGTTAATTCTTTTGAAGAACCAACTCTTTGTTTCATTGATCCTTTCTATTGTCTTTTTTGTTTCAATATCATTTATTTCTGCTCTTATTTTTATTATTTCCCTCCTTCTACTGACTCTGGGCTTTGTTCTTCTTTTTCTAGTTCTGTTAGGTGTCGTTTGAGGTTGCTTATGTGAGCTTTTTCTTGTTTAGTGAGGTGAGCCTGTATTGTGATGAATTTCCCTCTTAGGACTGCTTTTGCTGCATCCCAAATGGTTTGGTATGTCGTGTTCTCATTTTCATTTGTCTCCAGATAATATTTGATTTCTTCTTTAATTTCTTCAATGATCCATTGTTTGTTCAGAAGCGTGTTGTTTAGTCTCCACATTTTTGCACCTTTCTCTGCTTTTTTCTTGTAGTTGATTTCTAGTTTAATAGCATTATGATCAGAAAAGATGCTTGATATTATTTCAACTCTCTTGTATTTATTGATGTTTGCTTTGTTTCCCAAAATATGGTCAATCCTTGAGAATGTTCCATGTGCACTTGAGAAGAATGTGTAACCTGCTGTTTTTGGATAAGTGTTCTATATATATCTATTAAGTCCATCTGGTCAAATTTTTCATTTAATTCTATTATTTCCTTGTTGATTTTCTGTCTGGATGTTCTGTCCATTGGTGTTAATGGTGTGTTGAGGTCCCCTACTATTATTGTATTGTTGTTGATGTCTTCTTTTAGTTCTATTAAGAGTTGCTTTACAAATTTTGGTGCTCCTGTGTTGGGTGCGTATATATTTATAAGTGTTATGTCTTCTTGGTGGAGAGTCCCTTTTATCATTATATACTGTCCCTCTTTGTCTTTCTTTATCTGTTTTGCTTTGAAAGCTACCTTGTCTGATATTAGTATAGCGACACCTGCTTTCTTTTGTTCATTATTAGCTTGGAGTATTGTTCTCCATCCCTTCACTCTGAGTCTGTGTTTGTCTTTGGGGCTGAGGTGTGTTTCCTGGAGGCAGCATATTCTTGGGTCTTGTTCTTTGATCCATCCTGCCACTCTGTGTCTTTTGATTGGGGAGTTCAATCCATTTACATTTAGAGTGATTATTGAGATGTGGGGGCCTACCACTACCATTTTGTGTCTTGTTTTCCGGTTTTCTTCAATTTCCTTTGTTTCTCGTCCCATGGTTTAATCTGTTCTGATGAAGAGCTCCTGCTCTCTGTTGTTGTCCTTCTACTTATCTCCTCTGCTCTTGGTTTTGTAGCCCCTTTCCTTTTTTGGATTTTTCAGGAATGAGGGTTTTCCTGAGGATTTCCTGAAGAGGAGGTTTTGTGGCAATGAACTCCCTTAATTTTTGTTTATCTGTGAAAGTTTTTATTTCTCCATCGTATTTGAAGGATATTTTCGCTGGGTAGAGAATTCTCGGCTGTAGATTTTTGTCCTTCAGATTTTTGAATATCTCATTCCACTCTCTTCTAGCCTGTAAAGTTTCTGCTGAGAAATCTGCTGATAGCCTGATGGGGGTTCCTTTGTAGGTTAGTTTCTTTTGCCTGGCTGTCCTTAGTGTTTTCTCATTGTCGTTGACTTTTGCTAGCTTCACTACTATATGCCGTGGAGTTGGTCTTCTTGCATTGATAAAGTTTGGAGATCTATTGGCTTCTGTCACCTGAAGATCCATCTCTCTCACCAGATTTGGGAAGTTCTCAGCCATTATTTCTTTGAATAGGCTTTCTGCCCCTTTCTCCTTCTCTTCTCCCTCTGGTATACCTATAATCCTTACGTTGCATCTCCTAATTGTGTCTGATAATTCTCGGAGAGTTTCTTCATTTCTTTTTAGTCTTGCTTCTCTCTCCTCCTCTGCCTGCAGCAATTCTATATTGCCGTCTTCCAAATTGCTAATTCTTTCCTCCATATTATCAGCTCTACTGTTCAGAGCATCTAGATTTTTCTTAATCTCCTCTATTGTGTTCTTCATTTCCAATATTTCTGTTTGGTTCTTCTTTATCGTATCAAACTCTTTTGTGACATAGCTCCTGAACTCGTTGAGTTGTTGGTCAGAATTCTCTCTTAACTCATTGAGTATTTTAATGATGGCTGTTTTGAAGTCATCATCATTTAGGTTATATATCTCATTTTCTTTGGGATTGTTTTCTGTGTATTTGTTATTTTCTTTCTGTTCTGGAGATTTAATGTATTTTTTCATATTGCTTGATGTTGTTGATTTGTGCCTCCACATAGAGATAGAGTTTAGTTGCTCCTTTCACTTGTTTCAGCTGCTGCGGTGGGGGAGCCGCTGTTTATACTGCACCAACCAGGAACCCTGTCCGCAGTTGCTAGCTGGGCCTGGGCCCCTCCTCGTAGTCACAGTGCTCCTTTGGATTCCCTCCTCTGCCGTGGGGGCCGTCACAGGGGGGCTTCAGGCTGCTGGTGCCTACTGTTGCAGCCCACCTAGACGTGCTCCCTCCTTGGGGTCTGCAACGGTGTTATGGGCTTTTCCAGCGGCCAGGGGTGGGATCACTTATATTTGTCGCTCCATCGCTGTCGGCACCCACAAAATCTCACTTGTCCACTGTGGGTCCCAGGAGAGCTATTGGCATCTTCTACAGTCTGTGGTTAGTTCACCTAGCTATGCTACTTTTGTCCCGGGGTCTTCCAGCCTTGTGGCTGCCGGATGGGTGCTTTCTACTAGTGCTGTGCAGAGGCTTTCCCTGACGCTGCTGTGAGCCTGTAGGGTTTCCCCCTAGGCTACGGAGCTGGGTCGCTGGAACTCCCCCCAGCCCCAGTCCTGTTCCCCAGGAACTCGGGGAGCCCTTTGCCCTGTCTTGGGGGATAGCCAGAGATCCTGATTTCAGTGGTAGCTGGTCAGCTGCTGCCCTGACTGATATTCTCCTCTCCGGGACCCTCCCGGTATTGTGGATGCTGGGCGTGGCCCCTCCGCTAAAGGCAGACAGAGAGTTTTGTCTACTGCCCAGGCAGAACTCTGGAGCTTCCCCTCCGGGGCGCAGAGCCGGCCTCTGGAGCTTCCCCCAGCCCCAGTCCTCTCCAAGATCTCCGGCAATCCTTAGTCCCACAGGGCGGGCAACGGCAGCTGGGGGTCGCCCCGCCCTCTGGGATTCTCTCCGGGGCTTTCCCGGAGCCGTGAATGCTGGGCGTGGCCCCTCCGCTAATGGCAGACAGAGTTTTCTCTGCTGCCCGGGCAGAACTCCGGAGCTTCCCCTCTGGGGCGCAGAGCCGGCCTCTGGAGCTTCCCCCAGCCCCAGTCCGCTCGGAGATCTCCGGCAATCCCTAGCCCCACCGTGCAGGCAGTGGCAGCCGGGGGACCTCCGTACTCTCAGCGACTCTCTCTGGGACCCTCCGGGCGCCGCGAACACCAGGCAGAATCTCCCCGCCAATGGCGGGGAGAGACTCTCCCCGCGGGCCCAGGTGTGCAACTCCAAAGTTTCCCTCTGCGTTTAGGAGTAATTGCAGGGGGTTTAGGTAGGGTTCTGGTCACCTGTTTCCACTGTCGCTCCTCTGTTGTGTGCTCGCTCCTGCTCTAGATGTGTGTTGATCTTCTGGGGGCGTCCGTTGGAAGAAAGCCGCTTGCGGGTACTAGGCTGTTCGGTCGGGGTCAGAGAGTTTTCACCTGTTTCCACATCCTCCCGGAGGAAAGTCCGTCCGCCTTCCAATGTATAGTCGCGTGGGTCTCTCAGACGTCCTGAGATGCTGTCTGGATATCCTTTGTTAAGCGATAAGTGTCCAAATAATTGTAGACTCGAAGGGGGAGAGACAAAGAGGACTACTCATGGCGCCATCTTGGATCTGAGCTCTCCTTGGCCTTGTTTTTTAGTATCCCAAGAAATGATGAGGCTCTCCTGCACTTGACCATGAGAACCAAACATGCGAAAACCAAAATGGCACTTCACATGCTGCACTGGATGAGTCTCTTAGGTACCACAAGGCCTAGTGTTGCCAGTTGGTGCACCCTCTTCTTCGTGTCAACTATCTGAGGGGCTGTGTTGCTGTGAAGGCTTCCTGTGAGTGTGGAATTCGAGACAGACATTGATGGCGTTTAGAAATAATTCATCCGGGCCTTAGTGAGGCCTAAAAAACGCACCTCAGAGCAGTGAGGCCCTCGGCTATTGCGCATGTTTTTGCTGCGCTCGTTTCCATTCTTCTCTGGCAGTGACACGTGGCCCTGTGCTGGGTGTGGTGGTCAGTCACGGAGGGTTTTTGTGAGGGATCCCTGGAGTAGTTCTCATCATGGCGCCTGGGCCCTTCCAGGTAAGTGCTCCTTGTAGACATGCTTTTCCTTTGGTCACCAGACTGTCCCCTAAAGTAGGGGAAGCAAGCAGGCTTGGTATGTAAAGCTGGTTTGTGCCACCTGGGCATGATATCGAAGCCGCATTCAGGTGCTAGGGCTGGTTTGGAAGCTAAGTGGGCAGTTGGCTTTTAGCTGTGTTTCTCAGAAGGGCTGGTTGGTTATATTTGCCTAGGAAGCCCCCATCCTGGGATGTCTGGCCACCTTGTGTTGTGGGCCCCACCTCATTGCTTTGTATGGTGTCAGGCTGCCAGGCCCGTTTGCCTGGCCTCTCCCTGAGAGCTGGGCTGTACCCCACAGTCCCTATAAGCTGGGGGGCCTGATGCTGCGCTCAGCCCTGTTGGGACCTGCTGACCGAAGTCCTGTCTCTCATCTAGCCAACTGAGGACTCAGGGCCGCTGGAACAATGTCCCCTACTCCATGCCACTCCCACCCCTGAATGCTGCCTGGCGTGGTGAGAAATTCTTTGGCTAGTGGACTCCCTGCTCCATCTTCCCTGTGGAGGGTGGACAAGTGGCAGCACGAAAACTGTTTCATCCAGATGCTGTCAACCTGTGTCACTGTGGAGGGACCAAAAGGAAAAAAACCCGCCTTTCCTCAGCCTGGAACCAGAAAAGCGGATGGTTCTTGACCAACAACACAGAGGGAGCAGATGCAGATCGGCTCCCCAGTGCCGTTGCCGTCAACACTGCTTCCACAGGTTGTGTATATTTTGCATCAAACGTCAACTTTGAAGGCAGGAATGGAATTTTGACTTTGTGTTCTTAAGGCCAAAAGGGAGATTCAGGATAAACACAACCTCTGCTCCCAGGGAAAACATGTCAGAAACAGCTATGGCTGTGACCCAGGACAGCGGCACTGAGCAATTTTCATGAAGGATTTTTTAACAATTGAATTTTTTAACAATTGAACTTTGCTCAGTGTCCCAATCCCACTCTATCCTTAAGCCAGCTTAAAACCAGATCACCCAACAGTGCCCTTCACACAGCATTCAATAAATGTTGATTGGTGATAAAAATTGTGAAATAATGACAAAAGAAGTAATTAGAAAAAAATTACCTCTGACCTGTTTTCTTAACGTATCTCTATTGATCAGGACTAGGTTCAGCTATAGGTAACTGAAAGCCCCAAAATATTTTTATTTCTCTCTCTTGTAAAAGTCTAGATAGGCAGTCCAGGCTGCTGTGGTGGCTCCACAATGACGAGAGACCTGATTCTGTCTATCTTGTTTTTCCACCATTCTCTTAATTAATATCTTTTATCTCATCATCCGGAGTGGCTACTCCAGCTCCAACCATCACATCCACATTCCAACCATCAGGAGAGAAGGAAAAGTAAGAAAAAGGATTACCCTGCCACTTTAAAGAACACCACTTCTGCTTTCATCCTGTTGGCCATGGTTTTGGTCATGTGGCCACACCTACCATAGTAAGGCTGAGAAAGATAGACTATTCTGTGTAATGATAACTCACAGCCAGGAGTTCTGGTACTGAGGAAAACAGAAAGGCGTGTGAGGAGACTAAGTGGATTCTGCCACAGTGTCATGGAATAATCAAGCGTGAAGTCTCCCTGCTAAGTTCTCCCAGGAGGTGAAAACTAGGGAGTGATCATCCTTTTTGGGGCTGGATCTGGGACCCAGTACACACTTTGGTGACTATCTTCTCTCTCACTGGGTACAGCCACGACACAGTGGAACCACTTGTTTTCCTGACCCGTTGAGTCACTTTTATGCTTGAGGTACATTCAGTCAAAACATGGCCCAGTACAAAAATATGAGAGGGAATTTCTCCCTAAAAGCTCAACTTTATTTTCTATCCTAAATTTTTTTCCTTGGGAATTTATTTTTACTTAGTAATAATTTGTTTCAAATCCTACACACTATTTCCATCCACTGGCAGTCCACACATGCAGTAGAACGTGACCGGAACATTTTACCTCATGCATTTCTATAAACTCACAAAAGAAACTGGAAAGGAAAACAATATCCCTTTGATTCAGTGTGTATTCATACCTGCCCCAGATCACTTTTGCTGGTGATTTAGGTTGATAAATTTTGTATCGATACAGAAAAAATAATTTGTTTCCGTTCATGTCTAAGAATTGTCCATCGTACAAAATGGTTTCATCCTTTTTCTGCAGGAGAGCAGCCAAAAAGTTTCTGGCAAATACTTAGGGCTTTCAATGATGTGAAAGCACTGTCACCTCTCCTCTGAGCAGCCTTCTAGAAAATTGTCCCCCTGGGAAGGAGGCTGGCTCTCCCAGGCTGTGCATTCTGAACCCCAGGACTTTGTTGTAACTAAAGACCCTGTGGTGCGCTGCCCCCTCGTGGGAAAATGTGGGAACTGCAGATCATTCATCCCAGAAGAAAACCAGTTTTACCTTTCCAATGCAACTGGAAAAATCTTCACTGTTCAGGCACACAAGTCAAACTGGACCTCAAGAAAGACATTATTTTCCAGAAATTTCTTCCCAAAATGTGTGTTTATGAAAAGAAACATTTTGTTTGTGATAACACTGCGTAGCACGGCTATGCTTGTTTTACACAACGGGTTTATTAGTCAGAAGTTGTATAATTAGCTTTGTTCTAGACTCAATCTTATTTATAGTACACCAGGAGAGCTGACTTCCAAGAGGAAACATTTGGCTTTTTATAAAGTGAGAAATTGTTTTGTAAGGTCAAAAATTATATATGCCACCAATTCCTTCTGTAAGTTCTGGTTTTAATATGAAGTGTATTCTCAAAGTAAGGACTTTTTATACCAGCACTTATCTTCCTGCAGAAATTCTAGGCTGCCTCCCCACCTTCCTTGCTCCGGATTTGCATGGGATGTAGTCATGGTTTTTGAAACCTATTTCTGCAGGAACGAGCCAATGAGCAGGAGCCCTCCTCTGCCCACATTTGGCCGCACGGTGGACCACACGGCTAAAACGAGAAACCCCAGATAAACAATGTGGTCAAAGAGACGCCCAATTCCCCCTCACACAGGAGCCTGAGGATACTGACACTTCCTCTTCCTCATTTTAAGCCTTCAAGTTTTTTTCCTTATAAGAATGCTCCCTGGAGAGGCCTTCGAGTCCGCTGCACCCTGTGTCTCCCTATGGAGACAGACAGGGTGCTGCGTCTCCTGACCCCCTTGTCTAGTGCCCTTCCCCCTGCACCTCCCGAGGAGGCCACTCCAGCTCCATCCCCCTGAGAAGCGGGGCACCTCTCACTCTCCTGAGCCAGAAACTGAGATCAGGTGAGCAAACCACACCACAGGCAGAGGTGATAAGGGTAAGCAAATAACGACTGACTGGGGAGGAACAGAAGCAGAGGTTTGGCCCTCGCCACCCTGCAGATAAACAAGCGTTTGATCCGGGCTGCGCACATCCATAACGTTCACAGTCAGAGGGAGCCTGTGCTTGCAATCGATGCGTTTGGAACCCTACTGAGAGCTGGCCTGGTCCTCATACCGACTGAACCAGGGCTCAGGATCAATGGAAGGGGAAACCCTCTTACGCTCATTGCAGGGGTCCCTGAACTCCTGGGAGATTCAGGCTCAAGAGCCCTGAGAAGACAAACCCAGAAGTCTCGGCAGGGGAGTCCTGGAGGCTGCAGTTTCTACTCACCCACTAAGGGCCATTGGGACATGCTGTGGATTTTCCAAATCGGCTCAGTAAAGCTTCTTAGAAGAAACATCAGAAGCCTCATTCTCTTTCTCCCTGTTTGGGCTATTGAAGCTGAGGAAGGCAGTAAAGAGTGAATCCAGAGGGAAAACCATTAGCCTCTGTCTAGCGAGACTTGGCCAGGAGCACTTTTATAAAGATAATATTATTGACAGTAAGAGCTGCCAAAATTTATTGAACTCTTACTATGTGGCAGGCACTCTACTGGGTGTTTGTCCTGCACTATATTCTTCAATCAAAATTTCAACCGCAAAACTTTGAGGTCAGTACTGTTGTTGACAATCACAATTGAGGAACAGGCTTCAGGAGGTTGAGAGTTGCCCCAATTCCCACAGCCAGTAAGCAGGAGATACAGAAGTAGAAACATGGTTTGTCCATCTCTGGAACCCAAACTCTTAACCTCATCTTTTTTACATATAGCTGGAAGATGCCTGATGCATTTTTTCCCATCCATTTCACGACTTTCACTTAAGGATGTAAGTCCTATTAAAAAGTGTTATCACAGTGAATGGAGACTTTGGGAGGGATTCTGATGAAATCAGGAGAGCAAGGGAGCACTGCAAGAGGAGGAAGGGAGGAAGAAAACGAACCCTCATTGGTGGCCTGGCATGGACTGGGCACTGGTGCCATCCATCATCACCACAGCCCCATTATTGTCTCCTGCTGCAGCAGGTGGCAGGCAGCCGCCCATGTCCACTCTCTCTTCAATAACCTGAGCACAATAAAGATCACATTTGCCAGCCTCCCTTTTAGCTAGGCGTGGCCACCATGGACCGTGAGGATGGGCCTCGCCTCCCGGGATGCTGGAAACTAGAGCATAAGCTGCCTGGGGCCTGGTGATTCGGGAGCCGCCAGACCTGCCCAAGGCTGTTTACCTTGATTGTTTCTAGCTGATAGAAAAATGAACCTGATTCTTGTTTAAGCTAATAACTTGGGATTTTCTCTTGTATGCATGGATATCTACTCCTAACTACTCTCTTGTTTTTTTCTTTTCATAGGAAAACAGGCTCAAAAAAGAGTAAGTAACTTTATCCAAAGTCATATAAGTATTACCTGGCACAATTCAGATTTGAATCTCTGTCTCACCCCAGAGTTCTTCCTTTTTCCAGCACAGTCTACACTAGTAAAAGGAATAGGAACATGCATGTATTTAGTGCTTTGTAATTTGAAAACATTTTCTTATGCATTATACAATGTGTATGGTTTGGGATTTGGCGGCTGCAAGCAACAGAAGTTCAACAAAAGAAGCCAGACCTCTAGAGAAGCAAAATCACTAGGGATTTATTACATGGATTTGACCTTACGCAGTCGTGGGAGCTGGTTAAGCAGTCTCTGTAAGGCCGCATCCTCAGCTCTGATGCTGGAGCTTGTGGTCCACAGGGCAGACAGCTGGGAAGGGGAGATGGATGTAAAGTGAGGGAGAGCAAAAACAAGCTGGAACCCAGGTGCACCAGCTGGAGGCCGCAAGGATGGATTGAAATCCAAGCCTCTGACCTTGGTGACATGGATATCCTGCAGAAATGAGGACCCCTCATCACATTGCTGAACACACACGCCTGACCCAGGAATCGAAAAAGCTGGAGGAGGCTCCTGGGAAGGGCAGAGAGTTGCAGGCCAGGCCACTGCCTCATGCTAACAAGGTGAACTGGCCAATAAATGACAACGGGTGTGAGCAGCAAAAATGGCTGCTTCACTTCCGCCCTCCAAATCTCACACTGGAATCTCTCATGACCCACCCTAACCGGAAGTATCTAGCAAAGGGAATTCTGGGAAGTGTAAAGTATTGTCAGGTTGGCATATTGTAAAGCCACCTCCAGTAGCTTGTGGAACTGAAGGAAGAGCTGGAGAATTGGACTGTGGATAAGAAGGAGAGCAAGGCAGCTCTGGGGATCTGGGTAGCAGATGACACTCATCATCTCTAAGTCTCAGAATCACCTCCAACTGTATTCCATCCTTGTACTGCTCAACTTCCCATGACAGTCTCGTTGGCTGGTGTGGGTCATGTGCTCACTCCTCAGCCAGAGGAGGGTGGACACCTTGGTTGATTGTCCACATAATACTGCATGCGATGGGGGGTGGTCCTGCAAAGGGGAATCAAAGTGCTGTTACGGGTATAGGGGAGTGCATGGTGGGAAGGCAGACACGATGGGTGCCCCCTGCGCCTGGGAGTGCTGCAGACAGGGAGGCAAGAGGCCCTGAAGACAAGCTGCTCTCCTGCTCAGGTCGGCTCCACCTTGCTCATTCTGAGGCTGAGCTCTTGGAGAACAGAGAACATCCTTCTCATATTCTGTGACATCCCTTCCCAGGACCCAGCTGTAGCAAAGGACTGAAATGTAGAGTGAAAATGGCAAAGCAGCCCCAGAATCAGGGCTCAGGGTTGCCACCCTTCTTGTGTCGGGGATATGTGTGTGTGCATTTTCTAGGAGGGTACACAGCTCAGATTATCGGAGAAGTACGTGACTCCCTTAAAGGTAACAACTGCTGCTGTAGGTTTGGTGAACTCTGCAATTCCATGTGTTCCAGCGGTTGATACTTATCACGGATTCACTAAGAGGCCGTGTAGTGTAGTCACCAAACCTGTGGGCTCCAGCCCAGAATTCCCGGGAGAAAACCCTAATTCCACCACTTCCTACCCAGTTGACCTCGGGTGAGTTCCTTAACCTTTCTGAGCCTTGCTTTCCTCAACTGCACAATAGGGGCAACAATAATAGTTACCTCATAGGTTTGTTGTGAGGATTTAATGGGTTAGTGTGTGTGGAGAGCTTAGAACTGTGTCTGGCACGCGGCATGTGCTCACACAAATGTAGTCGTCATTATTTCCCAACGCTGCTTCAGGATCTGTGGATGTGTCAGACGTAATTCCGAACTTAAAGAACTTAAAATTTAGTTGAAGAGATAAGATCAACATATGGAAACAAGAGCCAACGACCTTGGTGTTAATTCTTTAATTATATAGTGCCAATTTGTGTAAGAATCAAGAAGAAGGGCAGAGCAGTGAAGGAAGCTGAGGTTAAGAAGTCTTGGCAGAAGGGAGAGGTCAAGACCTGGGCTTGAAGGATAGTGGGACAGGCCAGGGGAGTTTGCTCGGAGTGAAGATGCTGATGATGGGAATGTGTGTGGCATTTTGGGGAGAAAGAGACAGCACAGTAGGACAGAAAGAACGCTGATCACAGAGCAGAAAGCTGAAGTGTGTTAGCATGCCTTCTTGGGTTAAAGATATAGGAACTCAACTCACAGAGGGTTAACAAAAAAAGGGAGGTGTCCAAGGATAATTACCTTCTGCCATGGCTGAACCAAAGATGCAAAGCTCACACTTCGCTGCTGGGGCGGTGTCTCTCTGAGTCTTGGCCCTCTTTCGTCTGGGTGACTGCATTCTCAGGCAAACTCTCCCCACCTGGTAGCCAAAGTGACCAAGTGTATGTCATCCCAGCTGAGCAACCCCATTGGGCAGAGGGCACATTCTCCCGACAGTTCCAGCAGAAGCCTTGTGATTGAGGCTCTCTGGCCAGGCTGGGCCCGTGTCCTCCCTGAGCTCATCGTGATGGTCAGAGAGAACGGGTGCTCTCCTTATTCAGGCCCAATCATGTGCCCACAAATTCCGAACAACGTGGAGAAGGTTGGGGTGGTTCTCCCAGCAGAGTGAGGCTACCATGGTCATGAGAAGCAGGGAAACCAGAAACTGGGCAGCCAAAACAGAGATGCATCTGGAAGCCTCAGTCCCAGTCCTGCTCTTCAGGAGCTCTGGGTCCAGCTTGAGGCAGGTGCCTGTAACCCGTAAAATGGACCCATCCAACGGGAGAAGGCAGGCATGAGCCCTCTGGAAACAGTCAGCCCCCCTCAGATCTCAAAGGCTATTGTTAGGAGGAGACCATCCTGGTCAGACGAGAGAGAAGACACCTAGAGCGAGAATATGGGGAACAGAGTCACCGAAATGGGTGTGGGCAAGCTCTGAAAGGATATAGAAATGAAAATGGCAAACTTGCTAAAGGAGGGGGAACATGCTCCATGGTGCCACATGTGGATGCTGAGTAAATCTGGTGCTGGAGACAAGGGCAGACACTCCCAGAGGATAAATGACTTGCACAAGAGTCAACACAGTAACAATAGAGGCCTCAGCCCACTGAGACTCTCATTAGCAGCCAGCAGGGGAGACTGGGCTGTCGTTCTGGGCCCTGGGGCCTCCCCCACCTCACAGTTCTGTCAGGGCCAACCTGGGAGAGCAAGAAGAAAATGGGACCTGTTAATTAGTGTAGCTCATTTCTAACTGCCTACCTGCCCTAGGGAAAGGGCACCTGAGAGGGGCTGGTCCCTCGGGCTGGGCTGTTATACCAGGCCCAGTGATGCCAGAGGCAGGAGTTCTCAGATGATCCTGGGGCTGGTCCCAGGGCGGAGACATTTCTGAAGTCAAGATGGAAGGCAGTGCAAACCCGGTGAGTCAGGCATCCAGTGGCAGCCACGAGGCCAGCTCAGCGCACAATAGGCAAAGGCCTCCAAGAGAAGCCATTCAAATCCACATGACCCCCACCTGTCCTGGAAGCTGCTGGACTTTTAGTGAGAAAACCAGAAAAGTCTCAGGTAGACCAGGATGAGTTGGTCACACTACCTCACCTTTATGAGACTGAGTTGTCCTCTGACCTCTGAGGAGCTGACAGGAGGAGCACGAGTGTGTGTGAGGGGAGGCAGTGCTAACAGGGCCAATGGAGACCTTCCTTGCCCAAGCTTTGGGGGCCTTAAAACAAGGAGAGAAGCCAAGTTGTCTGCCCTGTGGTGGCTTGTCATTCACTTCATGGCAGGTAACACTATCTTTGCGATCAAACATGGAAGACTTGCAAGCTAAGAGAGGTGTCCCATGGCAAATTCAGAGGGGAAGGAAAAATGCTGCCCACTGATCATTCATGGGCCAAAAAGCAGCTCCTCCCACTCAGGATAAGGGGGAAAAGCAACTATAAAATCTTTGTCGTGGAAGGAGAGGTGAGGCTCCTGCCCCTTCCTTGAGCTGCAGGGCTTGTCCTGTCAACACACTCCGTGGGTTTCCGAGTATCTGCCATGTGCTGGAGGAGTTAACATACAGTTGTGTTATGTAATTATTCCAACTCTAGAAAGTAGAGATTATTCTCCCCATTCTACTGATGAGGAAACTGAGGCTCAGAGCAGTTAAGTGAATTGCCTAAGGTAATGCTGCAAGAATGTAGTAGAGCCAGGAGTTTCCTCCATTCTTCTGGCTCCGCATCCCGCGTTCTTTCCCCTACAGCAGGCTGAGTAACTCAGCTGGCAGTGATGCGTTACTCATAACAGAGATCCCTTGGGTTTGATCGAGGTGACTGCGGACTTTTGCTGCACTTGATTCTCATTTGACAAATTCTACAGGACCTCACATAGATTGAAAAGGAATTTTATTTTCTGTCTTTATTTACCAGGAAAAGGGGGATTTGGTTTGGGACTCAGGACTTACTTGTCAGGCACTGTCTGTAGTACCTGTCACCGGCAGGGTGGGTGTTCCTGATGTGGAGTGGGAGAGGACCCTGGGGACGGAGGTGACAGGCCATTATAACCGTCAGGAAGGATCCATCTGGGAAATGTGAGGAAGTCACTCCTGCTCGATCCTCACCAGGGGCAGGAGCAGGCTCAGCTGCCAATAAAGGCCCATCAGTCTTTGGAAGGCTACAGCCATCACGTTTACTCAATAGCAAATATGGATTGTTAGGCGCAACCAACCATAGCTTAGAACAGTAGTCTCTAAATCGTGCCATTGGAATTCACTGCAATAAAATTGTCTAATTGAAAAAGTCCGTACTGACAAACCAACAGGAAGTACATTGAGTTAATAGTGGTTTTGAATTATTAATTCTGCAGTTTTGTATTCCATAGTGCTATTACATTTTTCATCAGATAGGCCTTCTCTTAAAGGGGGCTGAAGGGTTATTCCGGAAAATTCCTGAGCTGAAGTAAGAACTGCTTCAAGTACAGGAAGTTTTGTAAATGCTGTAAGAAGCTATCTGGTTTTCTGTATGCACTGGG